ACAACTTTTCTTTTAAGCTGACTTTAAGCTATTTCAGGCATTTTCAGTCATGTTTGACTTTTGGTGACCCTATCTGAGATTTTCTTGGCAAAGCTACCTCAGAGGAAAAACTAAATTCCTGAGCTCAACTCAAGGACATAGAAATTTAGCTAAAGGCAGATGCAGACTCAATTACAAAAATCAATACAGCATAAAATCAATTACATTGTAGAATCAATACAGTAGAAATCTATGCATTAGAAAGTAGAGGGAGCATTAATTTTTATCTTTTCAGTTACCAATTAGGCCTCTAGTCTCTGACTTAATATGAAGTATAAATAAGCATCTCTTTTGAGATCTGTGAAGAAATTCTTTTTTATCAATTTAATGGAATTGTAGGGTGAGTAGTTATTGGATGGCTGAAGGCACAAGAATGATTCCAGGTGTACTTAAAAAGGAAATTAGCTAACTCTGAGATAATAATAAGAAAAATAGGAAGAACACTATTTATAAGGTTTAAGTTTTGCAAAGTGCTTTGCATGGGTCATCTTATTTTATCCTCATCAAAACCTTGGGAGGTAAGTATCATTATCCCAATTTTACAGAAGAATGGTACCCTGAGGCAGAGGTTAAGTGACTTACTCAGAGTCACACAATCAGGCTAGATTGAAACACAGGTCTTCCTAATCCCAGGTCCTTCACTCTATCTGCTATAGCATCAACCTTCCTAGGTTGAGAGATATTCATCTCAGGCATTAGAGAAAAAAACTCATATATGGAAGAAAAACTTAGTTCCTAAGAGGGACTCATTCTTCACTTTTCTCCTTATGTTTTTTCCCCCTACTTTCTATAGATCATCACCCTTCCTAACTTTTCTGAAGCATGTGACAGTGTTGACCACCCCAGACTCTCCAGATTTTCGTGACTGCTTGCTCTTACCTCTGTGACCATTCCTTAGTTGGTTTGGCTGGCTCTTCATATACATAATGCCTACTCCTTGTGAGTGTTCCTTTAGGCTCTGTCCTGAGTCCTCTTCTCTTTTCTCTTCTATTCTCTTGATCATTATATCAGCTCCCACGGTATCATTGATCTTCTCTATACAGAAGACTCCCTAATTCACAGATCCAGCCTCTTTTTCCTGACCTCCAGTCTTGCATCATGAACTGCCTGTTGTATATTTGCAACTGAATGTCCCACATACATCTCAAACTCAGAATGTCCGAAACAGAATTCATTACATTTTCCCCCTGAAATCCACTCTTATTTTAAACTTCTTTATTTCTGTCAAGGACACCACCATCCTTCCAGGCACTCACACTCACAGCCTCAGTATCATCCTCAACTCCTCATGTACATATATCTCATATAACCAATTGTTTGTCAAATCTTGTCAGCCTTCACCTTCACAGATTTTCCTGTTTATATCCCCTTCTCTTTAATCAGCTGCCCACCACCTTACTCCAGGGTTTCATCAACTCTTGCAATAATGTCCTAATTTTTCTATTCCTCCCCTATTCCAATCCATCCTCAACACATCCGCAAAGTAATTTTATTAAATTGCAGGTCTGAACATGTTATCCCCTATTCAATACATTCTGGTAATTCTATTTCTTCTAGTATAAAATATGAACTATTTGGCATTTAAAGTTCACCACAACCCATACCATTTATAACTTTGTCGGTTTGTTCCATATTACTTTCTTCCCCACACTCTATGATCCAGGCAGACTACCCCTATTGCTGTTCTTCACATACAATTCTACATCTCCCACTTCCTTGACTTGGCATGAACTCTGCTCCAAGCCTAGAAGGCTCTCTCTCTCCATGCTACCACCTTTCGGAATCCCTGGTTTCCTTTAAAACTCAGTTCAAGTACCATATCTGCATGAATCCTTTCTTGGTTTCTGTGTTGTATTTGATGTGCGTACCACTTGTATATACTTAAATATGTGCAAGATGTTTCCATCATCAGAATGTAAGCTCCTTGAGGATAGGGGATGCTTTACTTTCATTGTTGCATTCCCAAGTGCATAGCACAATCTCTAGGACAGAGTAGTGGTTTAATATATCTCTACTGATTGATTGATTCCAGAGCACAGGGAGGAGAGGAGATTTACCCCTCCTCCTAGTAGCAGAGAAACCTGCCTACTAGGAAATACTCACTCCCAGTAGAAAGCAGGGGAAGAGAGCCCATCCCCATTGTTATATGCAAAGGAGTGGTTCCATGAAGCCTAGTGAATAAACTTACCCAAGAAAGAAGCTGCAGTCAAAAAACCATGAAAAGAGAAAAGACATTTGGGCTTGAAAAGTGCTGAAAATGTGAATCACTTTGGCCACATGTATTCCCTGTATACCTGTGTCTTTACTAGCATAATCTCTGTGTGTCTGTTTGTAAGTATGTGTGTGTGTATGCATGTGTGGGGAGAGTGTGGGGGTGTGGGGGTGGGCATGTTCACTCTTCTCATTTATGCTGTATTGTGAGGGCAGGATGAATGCTTTATTATTATGATTTATGCTTTGCCATTTCAGTAAATACTTTTTTTTTTTACCTTTTTGTTTCCTCTGGCTTAATTTTAAAAGTGTATACACTGGTTGGGACTTATGACCTATTTTTAGAAGTGCAGATTCATAAAGTACCTTAAATGTGCAATAGTCATCTTACCAGGGACCCTACCTGTGAGTACAAGTCCAGAAGAAACACTACATATACAAATGTTTTGTTATCGTACATTTTCTCAATCCAAAGATACTAATATTACAACTACTGTCATATGGCAAAAAAAAAAATTATGATAAAAAAAGTTTGGACATAATGGTCTCTTCCAACCCCTTTATTTTACTGATAAGGGAATTGAGAAGCCAAGGGATTAAGTGACTTCTCTAAGGTCACACAGATAGTAAATATAAGAGCCTAGATTCAATCTCAGGCCCTCAAAAGTTCAAATTTGTGCCACTTTTAACAGTCTGTTTGAGCTTCTAGCTACAGATGATTTCCACACCTCATGAGAATTTAATGTTAAACCCTCTATCTACAGTAATAATGCCCCTGACCCAGTTTTAGAAGGGAAAGTATTTTCAAAATGGTTTTCAAGGAACAGTTAAGGAAGGGTTTACAGTAACCCACACCTGTAATATTTCCTAAACATTTGAGTGCCCAGTTGTCTGTGTCTGGATTAAGAGTGCTGCCTAGGTAACAGAACAAAGGTGGTTGTCCCAGATTGGGTGGTTTTTATTTTTTTCTTTAGTGGGGGGAGAGTAACTTACATTTTTACCTCTTTTTAAATACCATCTTCAAGTAAGGAAAAAGTAATTACATAAACACTAAGAAGGAAGAATCCTGGATTTATGACTATGATCTAATGATACCCCAAGACCAACCAGTTGCAGAAATCTTTGTAAGAACCACTGCATTTTCCATTTTACAAATCTGTCCCACATATGCACACAGGGAACCTGGACTCCCCAGGACCCATAGCCAGGTCTTAGCAAGGAATTGATATTCAGCAAGATGGAGTAAGAGCTGAGATAGCAAAGACCTTGCTTCTTTTAGAATACATAGCATTTCACAAGGTTTGATTGCAACTGACCCTGCACATCAGCTCAAGTGAACTGAGCTCATCTGCAAGGGAAGGCCAAGAAGAGCTTTTTACTTTGTTCACTGCTCTGCTCTCTGCAATCATTCTTCTATGTGTCTGCTATTAGTGAATGATTTTGTTACCTACCACCCTAACTGTTAAATAATGTCTTTTATGTACCATCTATGTAGGAGAGGAGCTTAGCTTCCTGTGCTCTATTTGAAAGATAGTACAGTACAATAGAAACAATACTGGACTCGGAATCACAGGAGATGAGTTCAAATCCTAGCTCTGACACTTATTAACTGTGTGACCTTTGGCAAGTCACTGAAAAACCTGAGCCTCAGTTTCCTTATCTATATGGACTAAATGATCTCTAAGATCCCTTCTTATCTTAAATTTATGGTCCTAGAGTGCATCTTCAAAATCTCAAGAAGAGGATAATTCAGTCTGACAGACTGGAGAGAATTCTTCTAGATGAGAATAAAGTTCTCAGATGGGATAGAATTGGCACCGGATTTTTATAGAAATTTGGCTTTATGTTTCCCTGAGGACTAGGAGTATGAGACAGGAATGTTTTGATGAATTCATCAAAATGGAAAATTGAGAAATGAGAAAATTGAGAAAATTGAGGAAATGGAGAATTGGAAAATGGGGAAAAAACTCTAGTGTTTGTTGCTATTTTTACTTTTTTTCCATTGCTTAGACCTAGTAATTAATAAACCACCTTTAATCAAATGGATTAACATTGCTCAAGTTCTTCAGAAACCTTAAAATATTTTACATAATGGTAGCTATATAGTAATCTATACTGGAATTCCTTCATTGTTGTTACCACTAATAATAATTAGTTATATTACCTTCATGAGCATAATAAAGAGTTTACTAGCCATTACAAGAACAACCACTTTGTATCTAAAGTTGGCAACTGTCGATAGTTGGATTTAATGCAAACATACAAACAGCTGTGATTCAGAAGACAATAATTCCCAAAGAGAAGAATTGAGTTCAAAGGCCCCCTCAGATAATGACCAGGCAATCCTGAGCAAGTCACTTAATATCTATGTGCCTCCGTTTCCTTAACTGTAAAATAAGGGTCTCAAAATCAGATGATCATTAAGGTTTCTTCAACCTCTGATAATTTATGCACGTAACTCTTCCTTTTGAGTTAATATTCTTTCTATTATCACTATGTGAAAGTGAGAAAGAGAGAAAGTGAGAAAGAAAGAAAAAAATGGAAGGAAGGAGGGAGAGAGAAGAGGGTAGAAAGATAGAGAAGGAAGGAAAAGAAAAAGGAAGGAAGGAAGGACAACGGACATAAACCTAAGCATCACGTCATGAGCAGCTTGGCATTTCATTTTCTTGTTACTGTCTTTTAAAATATGGAGTCTTAAAGATGGGCTCTATTGATTTCAAATTGGTCAGAAGCAGACTAGTTGTCCTTACTGTAGTCACTGTTCTCGTCCTTGGTGCCATCGATGGCTCCATCTGGGTGCATCTGCAGGAAATATCCCTGCTGGCTGAATAACCTTGTCACAATTCCTTTCAGCTGGGGTTCTGCAAAACAAAATCAAATAGTTATTAATTCTTTTTAATTAAACAAAAAGATGGCAAAACATGTCCACAAGTTGTCAAAAGGAATCCTGGCTAAATTATGCATCCCTTAAGCAGCCTGTCCATAGCACAATTCAATATGTATTCAGGAGAAAGAGTATCTAAATAATACTTTGTGGTTTTTTTTCCTTTAGAGGGAAAATCACAGTACTTTATGACCATCAACAAAATATAAATAAATGAAAGCTGATTATTACCCATTGAGTATCTAAAGGAATATAAAAGAGCTTTAAAAAAAAAAAATTCTCTCTGGCCTGTCCCTGATGTTGCAGCTTGAAGATAGGGTTTGGATTTGCAATTCGATTTCAGTCATTGAATGGGATGGAATTCTCAAAGCATCTCCCCCCCCCCCCCCATCATGATTTGCTTACATGGTGAGCCTAACATTGTGGCTGACCCTAGGCACTTTATAAATGGCTGTTGATGGCTGATCAGAAGTATGTGAACAGGATCTAGGGCGGTTCTGTTAGAGCCTTATGCCGATGCAACATCAGCACAGAGTATTCTCAATGATGACAAAAGAGGCCACAAACTGATAGCATTGCCGATTGAGATGACATGCGGTGTGCTTCAGATGCAAATGCTGAACCTTTGGAAATAGGACCCTAGCACTGAGGCAAATCTTGTTTAATTTTAATGATTGATATCAATTTTTTTTGTATTCTCAGCACAAAACACCATGCCAAACACAACACAAATTCTTAATAAATACTGGTTTGTTGAAAGATAAAAATAAATTTCCCTCCTTTCTATGGAGAGCTGAGAGACAAATGGGGTGGAATGGCATGCACACAGTCAGATAAGGTTATGGGTTGATTGGCTCTACTTAACTCTTTTTCTTTTTTAGAAGGGAGGGTTCATTGTTGACAAGAATAACTGGAGACATCAATGGCACAACAAGAAGGTATTGATCAAATTTCAAATGATGGTGATGAAAAGGAGGAGAATGAAAATGAAACGCACACTTCTGAAAAAATACAATGGATATGCCTGCTTTGTCCATCAAAAAAAAAAAGACTCAGAAAGAAGGAAATAATTGAAACAATTTCTTCCCCTGAATAAAAAAGTAACTTTGAAAAATATCATTTCCTCTAGAGAGTCCATAATAAATTATTCATCATCCAAGCTCTCTATTTCACTATGCCTATAAACAAAAATATAGGGATGAGGAAGGAGACAGGAAGAAATCTATGATGCCATTGTTGGGTAAGAGCACTAGCTTGCCTCCTAGAGTGCTGGTAGTATAGGCAATAAACTGACCTGTTCCCCCAACCCCAGTTATAAGCCCAATTTCATCCTTTGGTGCCCAAACTCAGGGACACGGAAAAGGAAACCAGAACTTTGGTGATCATTCTAGTGGTCTTGATCTACTAGAGGGTAAACCATGTCAACCATGCTGATGATTTTGGGAGGAATTAGAAAAAGAAGTTGGTATACAAGTCTACAATCTTCCAAGACATGAGAAGTGTCAGACTCAGCAGAGCCAAACATAGAACTTAGATCTCCTAACTCCCAACAAATATGAGTTCCGCTGGGACATCCTGTCACTAATGTCAAAAGAATGTAATTTTTTGGGCAAGGGAAGTTAGTCCATTCAAACAAAATGAAACCAGATTCTAACTGCTAATAGAGTGGCCTCAGGCTCAGAGAGGACAGTGATAAGTCACAACCCACCCATGCCTGCCTGTCTTGCCTTTGGGGCTTGGTCATGCATATAGTGTCTGAAGGGGATTTGAACCCAAATCTTCCCACATAAAGCTCAGAATCTGGCTACTCTGCCTCCCATCATGCCACTTACAGTCATGAAAGAATTATAATAAAAAAGGAAAGATTAGGTTATTTGGTTCAAAATGGAACTCAGTGGATGAAATTGTTACTTTCCCCTCCTCCAAAGGTCCCTATTTTTATTGAAGGTACTATCCCCTCCAAGCCATTTCTTTCTAATTTTATTCCCGTAATATCTTTCAAATGCCCCCCTTCTCTCCACCAATTCCTTCCCACTCTAATTGAAACTCTCCTCACTGCTCCAATAGAGTATTGCAATAATCTTCTAGTTGATCTTCTGCTGCTTGGGCTTTCCCCTCTCTAAATCATCAAAACAGAACCGAAATAAGATGACTAAAGGACAGTCTCCAACCCCCTGCTCCAAAGCTTCCTTCTTATCTGGAGGTTAAAATATCTGTGCTCTAAGGCTGGCATCCTAGGCCTTTGGTGACTTGGCTCTAGCTTCCTCTTTCCTTTGGTATATTACTCCACATTTAATACATTCCCAGTCCCAGCCAAACCAAATTACCATTTGATCTCTCATCTCTGCATTTACCTCCTACTTTTGTTCATTAGCACAAGCCAAGCTCTCTGCATGGAATGTACTCTCTCTTCTCATCTGCTTCCAAGACTCTCTATCTTCATTCAAGGTTCAATTTACATATGACACCCCTCTAGGTATTTGCACTGTCTCTTTTTCTTCAAAATCCTATGTAGCTATTTATTTATATCCCAATGTTGTATTCCCCCATTGGATGGAATCTCCTTGAGAGTGGGGCCTGATGTGACTTTGCCCTTATATTCTCAGCCCAAACCCATGTCTTGTCAGCTGTATGTAGGCTCTTCATATATGTCCGCTGAATTGAAAGTTTTGCAGTAATGGTCTTTTCCCCACTCATTTAGAAAACTTCTCAAGAGAACCCATTTCCATTGGTTTTCTGTACATGTGCAGGGAGCTAGATAAGCTGGGGATAGCACAGACTTTCCCTCTATTTCAAAGAAAGTGTGTTACTTGGGGGGGGACATTAGGGGAAACCAATGAGGCCAACTTATGGGGGGAAATGGAGAAGTTTCCCAGCTGGGGGGGGCAAACAGGCTGTGATTAGCATCACTGAAGGGAACTTGCACATCAAGGAGGTCACAGCTGCATCAGAATCTGTGGCCTCTCTGTGATATGAGGTTATTACACAGTGTCTACAAATGCTGTTTGCTTTTTGCCATGTTTGTTGTATTCATTAAAATAGTGTTTCTGTCATGGGAAACTCTACTAGAGTGCTCTGGGAATTGGGAATGGTAACTCCTGTTAATGTTAATGAGAGGCGAGCTCCTAGGTCCTCTGAGCACAGAGCTAGAAGAGGCCCCAAAGTCAATGGGAGTTGATCCAAGATCTTAAAAGCACTGTGCAAGTTAAGAAGGAGAGAAGAGATACTGAGCAGATGGCCTTTTATGTGTTTGTTCCTATGATCAAGTGTGTGGAGGTAACCTGTCCACATTTATCAATCTATAAACACTTGCTACTATGTGCCAGGCACTGTGCTACTCACTAGGGAAGCAAGACAAGCCCTGCCCTCAAGGAGATCATAATCTAATGGAGGAGTAAACATGCAAACAAACCTACATGGTACAAACAAGCTACAGACAGGATAAATGGGAAATAATTAAGAGAGGGAACATACTGGAATTAAGAGGGGCTGGAAAAGTCTTCCTGTAGGAGATGGGATTTTAGTTGGGACTGAAATAAAGGGAAGCCAGAGGGCAGAGGTGAGAAGAAAGAGCATCCAGCCATAGGGGACAGCTAGAGAAAATGCCTGGAAATAAGAGATGGAATGTCTTTTTAGTGGAATAGTAGAGAGGCCTGTGTCACTTGATTGAAGAGTATGTGGAGGAGACTAAGATATAAGAAGGCTAGAAAGACAGGAGGGAGGCGAGGTTATGAAGGACTTTGAATGTCAAGCAGAGGATTTTGTATGTAATACTCAAAGTGATAGGGAGTCACTGGAATTTGAATACAGGGTTGGGGTGGCAGGGCATTGACGATCAGACCTGGGCTTTAGGAAAATCACTTTGGTGGCTGAATGGAGAATGTACTGGATCAAAGAGAAACTTGAAGCAGGCAGACCCCCAGCAGCTATTGCAATAATCTAGGTGTGAGGTGATGAGGGCCTGCACCAGGGTGAGGATAGGGACAGAGGACAGAAGGAGGCAGAGTCAGGAGATGCTGTAAAGATGAAATCAACAAACCTTAGCAATAGATTGAATATAGTGGGTGAGAGACAGATAGTGAAGAATCCAGGATAATAACTAGGTTGTGAGCCTGAAGGGCTAGGAAGAGGCTATTGCCCTGTACAGTAATAGGGAAGGTAAGATGGAGGTGGGGGAGATTTAGAGGGAAAGAAAATGAGTGCTGTTTTGGACATGTTGAATTTAAGATGTCTGCTGGACATCCAGTTTGAGACATCTGAAAAGCAGTTGGAGAAGCAAAATTAGAGGTCAGCAGAGAGGTTGGGGCAGGAAAGGTAGATATGAGAATCATCACCATAGAAAGGCCAATTAAATCTGTGCAAGCTGACAAGCTCCCCAAGTGAAATGGCACAGAGGGAGAAGAGGAAAGAGTCCAGGACAGAACTCTGGGGAACACCTATGATGAACATGCATGTGCCATGCGTGCATATTGTATTGTGTATGTGATGATTACATGTATATGTGTATATGTTTATGCCACACATCTAGTATATGCATGGGTATATTTGGGATGTGTCTTATATAGTTTGTAGCCCTCTATGTTCTTGCAAATATTTGTAAAACAATTCCACAATTTAAGGCTGTAACAGAATTTGTTTCCATTCTATTTGGATATTTCTTTATAATGACTAGATTTTTAAATTCAAAATGCTTATTGATTAATTGATTACTTGCCAAAATTCTCAGAAAAGCATGCAGCAAGATTGGTCTAGATCCCTTGATTTGTTGTGACATTGCTGAGGTCAGAGTTGGGAGAGGTGGTTCAGGTGTAAAAGAATTCACTTAGATCTTCTCTGTAGCCATTGGTGATGAGTTCAGGGTGGACCCCAAGAATGTTGGGGTGCTACCTGAAATGATGAGGAATAGACATGGGGGTCCTAGTGTCTTGAAATAATTCACTTACACGGTCTCCAAGTTAAAGAAAGGCATTTATTGGG